CCGTATGTTATAAGAAGCAGCTTCACTGGTGGGGAGTGGGAGGACAGTGATCTATGGGCACAGCAACAAGTCATTAAGAGTCGTTTATTGGCATGTCCATTTAGCAGGTTAATAGTAGGGTTTTCCCCAGCCAGTTGAGTGCCAGCTGGATATCTAAATGTTCTATAACTCAAGTGGGTGTTGTTTTCAGCAGTAGGGTTTTACTGTCAAGTTCTTGAGAGTAATCAATAGCATTGGCAATAGCCTCTAATTGCCAGAGGCGGGTTACTGACCCTATTGGCAAACAACTCAAAAAGCAGTAACCCATTCCTGCTACTGGGAGCTTCATTTAGTAATGGATGATATCTAGTTGGGATATGGTCCTCTCACTATGGAGTAACTCAGTTTAAACTGGAAGCTTCCACAGTAGTAGGTCTCAATGTGACCTTTTCCAAAGGCCCACAGTGTCAGTTATCCCTCCCAATAGTCCCTCTTCTACCCTTTCCTTCCGTCCCTCACAGTTTCATCTTTCCTGTTCCATTTTCCCTCTTCTTCCCTTTATAACACTATTTTTTTCTTCCTTGAAAGCCCCCCCCCTTGTTGATCTGTGTTCTATCCAGTTCTCCAGATCACTTCTCACTTCCCATCTACCCTTTTTCTAATAGTGTTTTTCTATTAATTCTTTGAGAATTTCATACAATATATTTTGTTCAAATTCATTCCCTCAATTCCTCCCAGCTCCTCCTTCTCTCATGTCCCCCTTCTAGTTATCTAACCTGTCTGGTATTTCAAATGAAATGCACGTATGTAAAGCTTAAAAGCTAGCATCAACATAGGAGGGAAAAATGCAATGTTTATATTTCTGGGTTTCGGTTACCCCATGCAGGATGATTGTTTTCAGTTCCCTCCATTTACCTGCAATTTTCATAGTTTGGTTGTCTTAACAGCTGAATAATGCTCTATTGTATAAATGTATCACATTTCATTATTCATTATCAGCTGATGGACATCTAGTCTGTTTCCATTTCCCGACTATTGTGAATAGAGCAACAATGAACATGGCTAAGCAGGTGTCTCTGTAGTAAGACAGAGTCTTTTGGGTATAAGCCTAAGAATGGTGTAACTTGATCTTGTGGTAGATCTATTATCAGCATTTTGAGGAGCTTCCATGCTGATTTCCATAGTGGCTCTACCAGTTTGCATTCCAACTAGCAGTGAATAAATGTTCCACTTTCCTGGCATCCTTGCTAGCAATTTGCTGTCTCTCTACACCTATCCCCAACTCCCTACCCCCACCCTCACCCTTTGGAGACAGGTCGATCTGGCTGGAGCTTGCTATATAGACCAGCTAGCCTGGAAATCCTGAGATCTACCTGCCTCAGCTTCTGCCTCCTAAGTACTGGGATTAAAAGCATGTGCTTTTTGTATTTAATCTATAGATAATTCTGTTTAGTTCCGTGTTCCATTTTTAAATTGGGTTGTTTTCTTGATGTTAAGTGTTTTCTTTGCTTTTTTAGTTCTTTGTATATTCTAAATACCAACCCTCTGTCAGATATGTAATTAAACCCTCTGTCAGATATGTAATTGCTGAAGATTTTCCCCCCATTCTACAAGCTACCCCCTCACTCAAATGGTGATATCCTTTGTGGTACACAAACTTTTTAGCTTCATGAAGTCTCATTGTCAATTATTGGTCTTAGTGTCTATGTTATTGGGGTTCTGTTCAGAATGTTCTTTCCTGTGCCTATAAATTTAAGCATATTCCCCACGTTCTCCTCTATTGAATTCAGGCTATCAAGGTCTTATATTGAGATCCTTGATCCATTTGCAAGTTTTATTTGCACTTGAGCTTTTTGCAGAGTAAGAGATGTGGATTTGGTTTCATCCTTCTGGATTCAGACATTCAGTTTGACCAGAGCCATTTGGTGAAGATATGTCTCCACTGTGTATTCTTGGCCTCTTTGTCAGAAATCAGTTTTCCAAACTATTGTACCTCAGGATCAGGGTCCATTGCAGAAGACAGTATGGGGAGCCTGCAAGAGCCAGAGGGGAGTTTCAGTGAGATTGTGTCTCCAAGAAATGTCAGAAGCTACACCCATGAAGTCTCACCAACACGACTGTCTAAACATGAGCTGAACAAGTGTGACACAAATAGATGTGTTAACATGGAAGGGGCAAGCTCACAAGGACTCAACACTAGACAACTAAGGAATGCTAATAATAAGAGAAATAGTCTTCTGAGGGGAACAACACACCAACTGACTATTACCAATACCAAATAAATGGTCGGCGTGAAAACATATACATACAAGTAACATTCTACAGACTGAGCAGATTGTATTTATGTATTTAGGAATACACACACACCACCACCACCACCACCAACAACAACAACAACAACAACAACAATTTAAGAAAAAGAGGCTGTGAATTTTTGTGCAACTTGTCAGATGTCTGTGAACAAACCCACTTTTTTAGACATTGATAAATTCTTTTCTTCATGTGATATTTTATACAAGAACACTTCAGATATGTTATTATTTGTGACTGATTTTAACAAATCCTATTAGGTTTGTGTCAGCTAGTTACATGTTCTATTCATAGTCTTTTGTGAATCATTGCCTTTTTGTTTTTAAAGATGGCCTATTTTGAGCCTTTATAAAGGTACATTCCTGTAAAAAAAACTTGAAACTGTCCCATACAGAAAAATAATGGCTATCAGAGGTATGTTTTGCTTTGGTGTGAGTTACCTTTACAATATTTGTTTATTGTAAAGGTGGACATTTAGCATTAAATGCAGTTTTCAATAGAAAGGGATTAAAATTTCAAAAAAAAATTGAATGGGGATACATGGGAAGGTTTAGAGGGAGGAAAGAGAAAGGGAAATGATATGATTAAATAATAACCTCAAAAGTAATTTGAAAATCAGGTATCCATAGATATAGACTTATGTCCAGATCTTCACTTCTCTTTGGTTGATCTGTGTTCTCTCTTTTTATGCCAGTACAGTACTGTTTTTATTATTATAACCTTGTAGTATAAGTTAAAATCAGGGATGGTGATACCGCCATCAATTCTTTTATTATTTAGAATTATTTTTAGCAATCCTGGGTTTTTTATGTTCCCATATGATTATTTTTTCAATTTCTGTAAAAAATTGTGTTGGCATTTTTACAGGAATTACATCAAATCTGTAGATTGCTTTTGGTAGGTTGGCCATTTTCACAATAGTAATCCTACTGATCTATGGACATGAGAACATGGGAAATCTTTCTATGTACTGACTGACACCTTCATTTTCTTTTTTCAATTTCTTAAAACTTTTATTTTCTGTCTTTTACTTTTCTATTTAAATTTATTCTCAGATATTTTATTTACTTGATGCTAATTGTATGATATTGTTTCTCTTATTTCCTCTCTCAGTATGTTGTTCATATATAGAAAGGTTACTTACTGATTTTGGTGCCCACTCTACCCTTGACTCTGCCTCCTTGCAGTTCATATAGCCCAGGCATGCTTAATATCACAGACTCTTTGTAATTGCTGTTTCTTTTTTTGAAATATTTTTCCCTAGGTAACTCCTGGATCCTTTGCTTCCTCCAAGTCTTTGTTTAAATATTACCTTATATGGTGGTTTGAATGCCTTGGTCATGGTGTCTCTTCACAGTATCAGAAAAGTAGCTAAGATGCCCTAACAAATAGTAAAGCCCTTTATAGCCCTTAAATATAAAACTGTAAAACAGACAGACAGCAGCCCTCCACTGTGCCTTCTGCACCCCTTCCTACCTTGTTTCTCTTAGCGCTATAACACGATTTACCATGCTCTTGGCCCTACTTACTTACCTCATGAAGACTAGGATTGTAGTTCTCCACCTAACAAACCATTTCTCAGCTCTCTATCCCTTTTAGGTAACATTGATTCCTCATTTATTAATTCTCTCTAACATTTTCTGAATATCCATATTGTGGTAACTTGCAGGGAGAATTTAGAACTGCTAAAATACCTAAGCAGCCTGCCATCCAGGGAGCAGCATGTCATGGCACACAGATAAAGGCATGGAAAACATGGCAACATATAGATTAACAGAAATGGGCTGAATTTAAGTAGAAGAGCTAGTCAATAGTAAGCTTGAGCTGAGCAGTTTTAGTTAATATAGGCCTCTGTGTGTTTACTTGGGTCTGAGAGGCTGTGGATCAGGTGGAACACAGGAAAACTTCTAGCTACAATGGTGCTTACTGGTTTACTCCCTGAGGCTTGCTCTCCATGCCTCTCTCACCCTGGTGCAGCAATCATTTATCAAGAAAATGACCCATAGACTTATCTACAGGCTAGTCTGATGGAGCCATCTTCTTAGTTGAGTTTACCTCCTCCCAATTATGTCTAGCTTGTGCCAAGTCAACAAAACACTAACACAGATAGTCTTCTGAATTTGAAGGCAGAGTGTATGTTCCTCCAGGAATATTTTAAACATATTTCTATATATATTTCAGGAAGTCATACCTGTTAACTGGTACACAGAAATGATTGGGGGGCATAAATCTGCCATATGAATCTTAGTCTTTTGATAGCAAAACTTTTTGATCTGGGTATAGAAGAGGTTAAAAATAAGCATAAAAATTATATCTGGCTTGGTAGTCACATATTAGCTAGACATAGTTCTATTTCTCTCAGTAAGAATCTATCACAGGAGAAAACAAGGTACTCATAGGAATGAAAAGCAAGGAATTCAGTAAAGAAAGCTTCTATGCTCTCATATCTGAATTTCTTCTTGTAGCATATTTGAGAGGTGCAAACTTTTTCATTATTGAAGGTATGACTTAATTTATTTCTGAAGGTATTATATCTGTTCACCTTTGAAGAAAAGCATTAATGGCTTAACTATACTAAGTCAATGGATTCATCCTATGTGTAGTTTAAGGCCAATAATATGTATAATCTGGTCATTTATATAAAACCAATAGTAAAATATCATACCAACTAGCCTGTTGACTAATATTCTTTTTCTGTTGTTTGGTCCTAGGGTTTTGACCCACCACATCAAAGTGACACAAGAACTATTTACATAGCCAACAGATTTCCTCAGAATGGCCTTTATACACCTCAGAAATTTATAGATAACCGGATCATTTCATCTAAGGTAAGGATAAACAATTTTATTATTACACTGTAGATGTAGAGCTGGGGATATATTTGTAGTTCATTTGGTAGGATGCTTACCTGTTGTGTCCAAAGTCGTGAGTTCAATCTCTAGCACCACATAAACTGAACATTATGATGTATACCTATAATTCCAGCACTCTTGAGTTCAAAGTCATCTTTAGCTACATAGCAAGATTGAACCCAGCCTGGGATACCCTGTTTCAAATGACTAAAACAAGATGGTAGATATGGAACATTTTAAAAATTATTTGCTGAATGTGTGCAAGTGTGCGTTTATACCTTTAAAAAGTCAAGACACTGAAGGTTAATAGATGTATCTCACCCAACATGATGTATGAAAGAAAAGAGGCTGCTAGTTGGTACCAGTTACCAGTGTCTTCAGTTGTGACTGTACTGGATGCCATCTGCCGAGCCTGTTTCTCCTCTTCTGTCATTTACTCTTTGCAGCAGCCTATGTGAAATAATTATTAAATCATATTTACAAAATGCTATATTTATATTACCACAGTTTTTTGATTCCAGTGCTTGGAAACTGAATAATTTCCCCCAAATTGTAAGTGGCCTAGTTGGAGTTTGAACTCTGTTCCATGTGACTTTAAAGCTTCCTTGTTTCATTTTTAGTGTCTCCCATAAATTTTTTTTTTTTTTTTTTTTTTTTTTTTTTTTTTTTGAGACAGGGTTTCTCTGTGTAGCTTTGTGCCTTTCCTGGAACTCTCTTTGTAGACCAGGCTGTCCTCGAACTCACAGAGATCCGCCTGCCTCTGCTGGGATTAAAGGTGTGTGCCACCACTGCCCGGCTCCCATAAATATTTTAATGTAAGATACTACTTCATTCTTATTTATTTTTTTCTTGTTTTAATTTTTCCTTTGCCTTTTGAAGAAGTTGTTTGTTAAAGCAGAGAAGTATGGAGCAAAGCTGTCTAATTCATTTTTCCTTCATGACAGAAATGAGTTGCAGTGTTCAGTAAAATAGCACATAGGACTGTTGAGGCCTTGGAAATATGGCTGGTACAACTGACAACCTGAACATTTAAAAAGTATTTTAATTTAAATGTCAGAGCCATGTGTGACTAGTGACTCCCTTATTAAACAGTGCATTTATGAGGATGTGAATCAGAGAGACTGAGGATAAAGTTCTTACTTAGAGCCTGGCCCTTGCTTGTACGGCTCCACAAGAAACACCTTTATATGCTCTTCCCTTGTCTTCCAAAGACAACTAATGCTTTTCCTCAAATACTGATTTCATCTTTCCTAAGATGTCACCGTAGCTCAGCAGTCCCCTTTCCCTGCCCTTCTCCTTCTGCTATCCCATTATTTCTGTGTGCAGCTGATGCACTAATGATGCTGACACAGTGGTGATGTCAGCTGTGCAGTGCCCCAGCTCTCGTCTATACTGTGGATGCTTTATAGGTTTTTAAAGAGTTTTAAAGTCTAAGTTTTGTATTTAAAATACAATTTGTCATTTCCTACTCCTCATGTTCCACTCCCAACCTTCACTCTCTCTCAGATTTACAACCTATTTTTCTTTGTTACTTTTGCATGTATAAGTACAACCTGTTGAGTCTGTTTAATGTTGCTTGTATGTTTGTGACTTCAAGCCTGACCTCTGGGGAAGACTAACTCTGCTGCTTTTAGCCTTCCTTAGTTACCTGTCTTTGTCTAAGTGTAAGGCCCATTGAGATTTCCTCCTTCTGTTGATTTTTTTTCCTTGTTCTGGTCTTGTTTAGGTATCCATACTGTTGAGATATCCTGGGCTATGCTTCACTGTCCCAGTCTTACAGCTGATTTCCTGGTTCTTTGGTTTAACAGTCTTTCTACCCCCATTCTATGATACTTCCTGAGTCTTAGGCTTAGTAACTGTGTTATAGATATAGCCACTGGGACTTGGAACCCCACAATCAGCTCTCTGCTTTTTGACTATCTGTGGTTTTCTGCAGTCATCTTCTATTGCAAAGAGAAGCTTCCTTGATGATGGGTGAGAGCTACACTTATTCGTAGATACAAAGAGAAGAATTGAGGATACAGTTAGGAATTTAGCTGGTTTAATAACGTGGTGGTATTAGGTTCTCTAAGATCCATGACCCCTCCAGCCCTGGGTAGCTGGCCAGGTTTTCAGTGCCAGGCTTGATTTCCCTCCTGTTCGTGGGCCTTATGTCCAATTAGAGAGATGTTGGTTACTGCCAAGATATGATGGCCACTGATATAGATTTACCACTGATAAAGATATACCTTTAGGAATATTTTACCATGCTGGCATTGTTGTGGTTAATAGGCATTACAGCTGGGTGGCACTACTGGTTTCTTCCCTCTGTTGGCAACTTGTATAGCTCCTTCCAATACTATGGAGTACTATAGTCTTTGTTAAGGAGGAGGCTTTCAGATCAGATCCTCTGAGTCCTGATAAACTCTAATATTTAAAATTCTCATCTGCTAGGACGTCACACTTCCACATAAAACATTTTAGCTGGTGTTGGAAACTGAGAGTCCCAAAAATGTTGTGCTAAGCGCTTTTATATGGCTCTTTTCTTATGCAGCAGTTGAGGTTTAATGTTTTTGACCAGAGTTTCAGAAGTGTAGGTGTTTAAATAAGCACTCTCTTTAAAACCTTTTAGCTTCAGTCAAAGTTTCCTTATGTTGCTTTCCTACTGTTGTATCTCAGTTGTTTCTGGAACCTCCTAACTGTATTGTTGGCTGACTCATAGCTCAGTGAACTCTTTTCCCATTGAACCTTAGCTGGATTGTTTGCTTCCGTCGTGGCTTTTGATATAACAATCCAAGGAGGGTGTATATTTGCTCTTCTAAAGATGCCTGAGTTCATGTCAATTAAGAGTATAGGTATTTGCTGACACTATTCTCTCGAGCTTCAATGAGGCTGCCATGATGTTATTCTCTTTTTGAGTCCTGTATTGTTCTCTGAGACATTGTCTACAAAAGAACAGGACCTTTGCTGCATTTCCTTTTGTTTTATGTGTTCATTTATGTATCTCATCTTTGACTGCAACTGTTGATATTTAGCTCTTAATCTCTTTGCTTTACTTGTAAGCATCTTAGTGTATCTGACTTGTTGAAATGTGTAATGATTTTATTTATATATGTGGACCACCATTATGTGCCTGGTACCTGTGGAGTGCAGAAGGCATCAGTTCCCCCAGAATTGGATTACAGACAGTTTTGTTTGTTTGTTTGTTTGTTTGTTTGTTTGTTTGTTTTGACAGGGTGTCTCTATGTAGCCTTGGCTGTCCTGGATCTCAGTGTGTAGACCAGGCTGGCCTCCAGCTCACAGAAACCTGTTTGCCTCTGAGTGCTGGGTCTAAAGCAGTGGCTCTCAACCTCCCCAGTGCTGCAACTCCTTAATACAGTTTCTCAGGTTGTGGTGACCCCCAACCATAGAATTACTTCATAACTGTAATTTTGCTGCTGTTATGAATCATATTGTAAATATCTGATATGCAGGATATCTGATATGCGATCCCTGTGAAAGGTCATTTGACCCCAAAGGGGTTGGAACCCACACGTTGAAAACTGCTAGCCTAAAGGTTTGTGCCACTATGCCTAGCTTCGATAATGACGTATCTTAATTCACTTACCATAGTAGCTACCTTATATTAAATTTAAACTGCCTTGAAAAATATTATTTTTTATTATCAGTATTAGAACTTAGAGGGAGAAGGTCAGTTATAAAGTCATACATGACCTAGAGAAATTAACTCCATTGTCTTAACCACTATTACATAATACTTAAGATAACTTTAAAGCCCAATAAATTATTTTTAAAGTATTTTCATATTTAATAGTATGTCTCTTCCATCTCTATGGTAGAATAAATGCAGAATTTTGATTAACTCATTCTGTTAATATGTTTGTATTTTATAAAACATGAAAATAATATTTTGTCATTTGTAAGCTGCTTTGTATATAAAAGTTCTATTCTCATTTTCCCTTGTTTTATGAGCTAGACAAGGAAATCTCTTCTTTTAAAATTCATTTTTATGGGACTGGAGAGATGGCTCAGTGGTTAAGAGCACTTACTGCTCTTGTAGGGGACCTGGATTCAGTATCCAGCATCTCCATGACAGCTTTCAACTGTCTGTAATCCAGTTCAGGGGGAACTGATGCCTTCTGCACTCCACAGGTACCAGGCACATAATGGTGGTCCACATATATAAAAGACTCTTATACATCAATTTTTAAAATAATTTATTGTTATTATTTGTGTGTGTCTCTGTGTGAGCATACGCATATGAGTGCAGGTGCCTGGGGAGGCCAGAGACTTCAGGTCTTTTTAGAACTGGAATTACAGGCAGTTGTGAGCTACCTGACATGGGTGCTGAGAATTGAGTCCTCTGTAAGAGCAATATGTACACGCTTAACTCTGGTACCTTCTTTCCATACCTTCAAAGCAACTATCTTGAAACCATTTACCTTACTGCCAATTTATATAATTGTTTACTTTTAAATTATAGAAGTAAAAATCTTGTCAGTATCATAATCTACATAGACTTTGTAAGCATAATTCTTAGAAAGTTTTGTACATTCAATAAGGTGACCAAAAAATTTCCATGGAGACACTCTGACCCCTGTAGGAACAGTTGCCTTTTACTCTGATTAGGATCAACCAGAAGAGGCTGGCTCAATCAGTAAAGGACTTGCCAAAAGCGTGAGGACCCTAAGTTTGGATCTGTAGCACCCACATAAAGTAGAGCTCAGTTGCCCTGTAATCCCAGTGCTGGGGAGACAGACACAGGAGGATCTGTGGAACAGAGATTAAGTCTAAGATTATTTAATGAATGTTATAACTTTGAGCTGCAGGATTTTAATTCCCATCCATCTGTGCTTTTGACTATTATACTCAGCTGTCTTGCCTTTAGGATATTGTGGCAGTTTTGCATCCTTCATAAATTGTTTTGATGTTTATCCTAGTTATTGCTTGTCTAATTATTTCTTTAACATTCCAGGTCATGTAAAAAGAAAATAACTGACTGGGCCATTTTATTTTGTTCTGTAACTGAGTTCAGTAAAATAAAATTACTCTAATATTTTTAGCATTACTATCAATGCTTAATAGTCTTTATTACTTTAGTTTTATGTAACCAAATCCAAAATATATTGTTAAAGTGTTTAGATATTTTATTTAGCTTCTAAAAAATTAATAACTGGATGACAAAATTAATAGTTTCATATCTCATTTTAAAAAGTATATTAAGGGGCTGGAGAGATGGCTCAGAGGTTAAGAGCACTGCTTGCTCTTCCAAAGGTCCTGAGTTCAATTCCCCTGAGTTCAATTCCCAGCAATCACATGGTGGCTCACAACCATCTGTAATGAGATCTGGCACCCTCTTCTGGCCTGCAGGGATACATGCAGGCAGAATATTGTACACATAATAAATAAATAAATCTTAAAAAAAAAAAGTATATTAAAACTGCCAATAAATAAAAAGGGAGAAATGAAAGTAGCATAAGAGTCTTAAATTCTAGAAACTAGATAGTTTCTGGAGCATCAAATTATATTAATTTATCTAAAAGATTAGTAAATCCAATTTTACTTTTCTTATAATTGCATCTATGTAGTATATATTGTTTTAAAATATTCTTTTATTGATTTCTCTTTTCTTTTTTCCCCTAGTATACTGTATGGAATTTTGTTCCAAAAAATTTATTTGAACAGTTCAGAAGAGTGGCAAACTTTTATTTTCTTATTATATTTTTGGTTCAGGTAAGTTTTATCACTCAATGGATTATTTATAAACTTGCTGCCTAAGCATATATTTTACAATAGGGTAAAATTACATTGTGCTCTTAGTTGTTTGACTATGGGATTTTTTTTTCTCCTGCAGCTTCCCCCATAGTATTCATTAATAAATTATCAAAATCAAATCTAGATTTCTAAAACATAAGCTATAAATTTTAAAATCAGTTGCATTTCTTTACTAGTGTGCCATAGTACTGATAACTGTAATATGAGCCAGGTAATTTTCAGATGCCTGTCTCAGAGTATAAATGTTTTGGCTGTTCATATGTAGTGCATCATTGGCACATGTCTGCCTGTGGAATTGTCTTCATACAAGATAACTGTGTGTGTGGTTTTTTATTAAAATTTTGTTTTTGCTACTTGTCACATGAGTCTATACTCACAGATACTCAAGAGGCTGAGGCAGATGAGGATTGCTTGTACCTAGGAGTTTGATGCTAACTCAACAACATAACAAAACCCCACCCCAATAAATTTTATTTGAATTTATAAATTTTGTTTGTTTGTTTGTTTTGTTTTGTTTTTTTGAGACAGGGTTTCTTTGTGTAGTTTTGGTGCCTGTCCTGGATCTTGCTCTGTAGACCAGGTTGGCCTTGAACTCACAGAGATCAGCCTGTCTCTGCCTCCCGAGTGCTGGGATTAAAGGTGTGTGCCACTACCACCTGGTTGAATTTATTTTTTAACATTTCCCTCTTTCCCTTTTTTCTCTTCTCTTCTCTTCTCTTCTCTTCTCTTCTCTTCTCTTCTCTTCTCTTCTCTTCTCTTCTCTTCTCTTCTCTCTCTCTCTCTCTCTCTCT